AATATTAGTAAAAGAAGACCCTCTCGTACCTGCAGAACTCAAAGTGCAAGACATTGTAGTTTAGCTAGTCCGTTACTTCCTGTTGATGTTTAGTAGCTAATACTAGCTACAGGCTAACATGAGTTCCCATCAAGGAACTACATGTAATGTTAGTGGTTCTGATGCAGCGTTAACACATGGATTTGACAGCAGACATCCACGTGTTCGAACACTTTACTTGTGTGGTGTAAATTCCGTCTTGAGATAGTTTAGGTGGTTACAGCTATCCCAATGATAAAGCTCCCGAAGTAACGTCCAAATCCCGCGATGTTTGTTTTTATTTCACGGGCATTCTCGCGATAGTTTTGCCAAAATACAGAAAACATGGCGGACAGGCTAACACAACTACAAGACGCTGTCAATTCGGTAAGACACATTTACGTATTTTAAACTACAATTTACACATAATAACTTTATGTTGACTGCTAATATTATCTCAAGAAAGTAACTGGTCAGTCTAGTAGCCCCATTGTTTTTGAGTAACCGCTTAACATCGCTACATTAATGTGAGCTGATGACCAGGGCCTGCAACGTTAACCAACAACTGGTTCAACTTCAGGTTAATGCACATTGCACACAGCATAAGTTAGTGTAAAAGCATTGGAGCCACCATTCTTACTAGCTAACAGGGTGATGAATGCTTCCTATAATTCATCATGTATGTATATAGCTCCCTGCTTGAATGAATGTGCAATGTAAATGTCCCCTCTGTAGGACGAATAAAGGGATTCTGATTTTGAATCCTGATGTTTTTGTGTGTGCAGCTTGCAGATCAGTTTTGCAATGCCATCGGCGTCCTGCAGCAGTGTGCTCCTCCTGCCTCCTTCAATAACATCCAGACGGCTATCAACAAAGACCAGCCAGCAAACCCAACCGAAGGTCCATTATTTAAGTCACTTATCTTTGTTAGTTACTTTTCTGTCTCTGTCTTTTCTCATTCTATCTACCCTCTCAACACTTTCAGGACTACATCATTGATGCACCAAACGAATAATCCTATTAAAAAGACATGGGGTATTGTGAGATGTGACTAATGCATAATATACTACAGCCACCTGTAATTTCCCTTAATATTTTCAGTCTTATCTTTTGCTGAAGATTTACAGGCATGGAATTAAATCAGCATCTCCCCCCTGCCTAATACAGGTTAGCTGTGGCAGGTCAAACGTGCCACCATTACATATAGTTTTTCCTATTATTAAGACATATTTATTTTTAATGTGCAATTCCTTAATTACAACTAGTCAGGAAAATGTTCCGTATTTCTACAGACTCTGCTTAAAGTAGATAGAAACGTCATTTATTCAACATTAGGATGACCTTTTAAATGTTTGTAATCCTCATCCAGAATATGCCCAGCTATTTGCAGCCCTGATCGCCAGAACAGCCAAAGATGTGGATGTACTCATCGACTCTCTACCCAGTGAGGAGTCCACTGCAGCTCTGCAGGTCTGTACGTTCACTAACATCTGTCACACACGCATTTCACTTACATGGTAAAAACATAGTTAGTATTTCATGCTTCCTGTCAGCAGAGGGAGCCAGCTGAACGCTTGTACAGCTGCGTGTCTGTCTGCTCTTAAAACAAATTATTATAGTCATGGACTATATATATATTTCTGTTCTAAATTATATTGCAAAAATAAATATATGAACTATAGATTAAGGTTTGCTTGTTTAAAGACATTTTAAGAACTCTTAAAAAACTGTTTTGCCCTTGTGATGAATCTGAATACCTCTAAAAATCAGATGCAACAACTTATCAGAAGAATATTTCACATGTTTTTCGGGGTCAGTGATTTATTTTTACGACCTGCATTTAATTTAATGATTGCTTTTTATTCTCAATGGAAATAGAGAAGAAATGTTGCCTCTATTTCTGTGTTGTTCCGCTTCCTGAAAATAGAACGGTATATTATGTAGTGACTGTTATAAATAGTATTCCACTGATGATGAGTTCCAATATTTTTAAGCACTGATCTTTTACACTACATCCAAAGTAACACCAGTAAAAGAGTTCAACAACTGAAATCCAAATCAGTTGAGATGTGTTTTTTGTTTAAGTTAATTTCCCCTCTGTGGGACTAATAACTATAACACTGACTCCCCGTCCGTCAAAGAATCCACTTCAAAGTCCTCCTGATTACTTACAAAGCCCTCAACAATCAGACCCCCCCCCCCCCCTACCTCACAGACCTGCTGCACCACCACACCCCTTCCCTACCTCACAGACCTGCTGCACCACCACACCCCTTCCCTACCTCACAGACCTGCTGCACCACCACACCCCTTCCCTACCTCACAGACCTGCTGCACCACCACACCCCTTCCCTACCTCACAGACCTGCTGCACCACCACACCCCTTCCCTATCTCACAGACCTGCTGCACCACCACACCCCTTCCCGCTGCCTCCGCTCATCAGAAGCCAACCTCCATCCCCACCCACATCAATCACCGGACCTGGGGGGACAGAGCCTTCTCCGTCGCTGCCCCCTCCCTCTGGAACTCACTCCCACAACCCATCAGAGACTGCACTGACCTCACCACCAACTTACAAAAACTCACCTCTTCAATCTGGCTTTTAATGTGTGATTGTTTTTGTATTATTATTTATTATTATTTACACAATCTCCTACAACAATACAAATTCAGGACCTTGGTTATAATTATCTTTTTTTTTAAAGGATCTCCTTGATTTTTTTGATGTGTTTTTCAGGCTGTATATAAATGTAGGTATTTAAAAATCTGAATCAAAATACCTTTATTAATCTCACAGAGGGGAATTCACGTATGAATTTAAAAAAATAACAACATATGGAAAACTCAAAATACTAAATTTCTAAATGATGCAGTAGGAACTAAACGAAAAACTGAAACTCTTCATATATACAAAGGTATTTCCTGGTAATATTTGGCAAAGTTGTGTCGGTGCTGCATATTTTCTTGTATTGCAACACCTAGAACAGAGGTATCACAGTTGTGACATAATCTGGTGTCTCAGAGATATTATCACTACAACTCTAAATGATGAGGCTTTAAAACAAATGATTGTTTGCGCCACAACTATATTTGTATAATAAATTTGTGCTGAATGTGCCCTCCATCAGGCGGCCAGTCTGCGGCAGCTGGAGGAAGAGAACCACGATGCAGCTGCCCGTCTGGAGGAGGTGGTGTACCGCGGGGACATGCTTCTGGAGAAGATCCAGAGCGCCCTGGCTGACATCGCCCAATCTCAGCTCCGCACCCGCAACGGAGCACCCCCCCCAGCCCTCCCTGGCCGAATCCTGACCCGGACAATAATATGTCTTTTCCTTCATTTTAAAACTTTATTTTTACCCTTTTTCAAACCTTAAAAAACTCCAAAATATGCTGAAAATGCTGTAACGGTCATTTGAAATGTAAGATAATTGAGTTGCTTATTGAGATGGTATTGTCCCACAGCAGCCCCCAGTCTCAAGGCAAACACATGCTGAAAAAGGTCTTCACATACTCACTGTTTCATATATGGACCTTACTGCTGGTGCCAAGATACTTGTGTATGGTCCAAATGGCCACCCTGTCATGTTTTTTATGTTGTACATTGGTTAAGTCTGTTTTGTATATTTATGAATGAAATTATATTCTTACTTTGGAGTATCTACTGAAAAACCTGGACACTTTGCAACTAACAAACCCTCTCAGCTCATTGTAAATCTGAAGTGTTGTTTTTTTAATAAAGCTTGGAAAAACATTTTTGAGGAACTAACGTCTGGTCTTAGTCTATTTCATGACATTTCAGTATGTCATACGTTGGTAAAAAAAATAGCACGGGGGGGCAAAAATGACTAGCTGCTGAGGGCTTTAATGGGGAATAGGGCTGCTGAAAACAATTCAAGATTCAGTATGAGAAGTGAGAACATTTATTCCCTGGGTTTATTTCAGACTGAACTTTATAAAGCTTGGGCTGCAGGCCAGAAAGTCTATAACCCAAATCTAAATATAGTTGCTGTTTAGCAGCTCAGTGGGCTCCATTGATGCGAGAAAAATAAAAACGGACTTGTCTGCTGGACACCACACCATGACGTTAACAGGGTGCACCCTGCACCTCTGTGCATGATGTCCTCGTGGCTCATAGAAAGCACTCAACCCATCCAAAAAATGAGATTTATGGCACAGAAAACAGCCCGAGGTATCTTTTGGTCAACACAAGTTTGTCGGTGGTGTTACAATCGTGTTATCTTCTGTTTTCAGTTCTATTTAATATTTCTAAGCATCCTTGCTGGTTGATTGGAGGAAACAAGTCAGTTTCCTGTGGAATTTCTAGATTGCACAGAATGAAGACTAAATCTGCAGTGTCGAGTTTAAACAGTGAACATATTTTAAGTTTTGTTTTTCCTCTTAGAATATTCACAGAATATAGCTGTGGTGTGTTTATCAGTGGCACGATTATGTTTTAAGTTATCCTCTCATCTTCTCCTGTATTGTCAGAAGGCACATATAGTTATATTATAAAATATGTGGTTTAGATTATAGCTTTTCATGTTTGTATTAGTGATTTATTGATTCTTCTTAAATCTATTTTTATCAAAAAACTGCAAATTGTAGGTTTGATCACAATGTGACCTTTTATTGACCTTAGTTGCCCTCTTGTAGTTCCTATTTTTGTGTGAAATAACTGATTAGTATTTGACAGTATTATGTGTGTAATATGATACTAACACAGTATTATTTTTAATATCATGTTTTATTATAGGTTTGCGCTAAGCGTAATGAATACAATTAACTATTGAGGCTACAGTCCAGTCTTTCATAGCTGCATGCAAATGTTTGCTAGCCAAATGAACGCATCCCTAGCAGGGCGGTTTCAATCTTCTCATTCGCTGAAGCACATGTCACTTTCAAGTATATTGCACAATGATTGGCCACTGTTAACCACGTTTCTCTTTCCTCATTCGTGATAGGTTATTTCCAACGTCAATCAAATGCCTGCGTACGCCGTTGCGTGCCCAGAACGTCTGATGGATGAGACCAACGGTCCCAGGAAGCAGCTCTGCTTATTCCTTATTTTATAGCGATAAAGACAGGGAATATACGGAATTTTGAGGTCAGCGGGAACAAATAATGGAGTAAAATAAAGTAAAGAATTGTGTCAGGTTAGCTTGCCGTCAACGTCAGGATTTCTGTTATGATTTGGCGTTGATTTCGGTGTTGTTTACTGGGCTGAGAGTTCATCTTGGAGGGATAACTGGAGCCTAATATTGGGCAGAAAATACACATTATATTTCTCTTATATCGAGGGGTGGCGGCCAGCCGATAGTTAACTCTGGAGCCGGAAACGGAGGTAAGTCAACACATTTACCGCAGAATGCTCCCTATATATGTATGCTGTATATAATATAGCGGACAAATAGCTAGCTAACACAACACAGCAACAACATGTCATATTTCTGTATAACATGAATAGTAGGCTATCTAGTAGTATGTCGAGTGTGTTGGGAGCAGTTACATGTAGTAAAAGCCCTAGTTAAAATCAGTGGTGTAATGTAACTAAGTCTACATTTACTCAAGTACTACTACCTAAGTAAAACCTTGTACTTTACTTGAGTATCTTCAAATGATGCTACTTTATACTTTATATTATAATATTATAGGTTAAGCTAAACAATAGTGTATAAAGTCATTCAAATAAACCCCACGTTTACCATGTGCAGCATTAAAGTGATGAAGACATAAATGCAATAAGTCAAATACAAATAATTTAAACATATCTGGTGCTTGAAATGGCTTTTTTCCACAACTAATACCTTTTACTTTTGGTAGTTTTTTAATGCTAATACTTTTTTACTTTTACTGAACTACAATTTAGAACGGACTTTTACTTGTAACTGTACTTCTTCCATTGTAGTATTCCTACTTTTACTTAAGCAAATCATCTGTGTACTTATTCCATCTCTGGTTAAAATACAATACAAAATGTAATGTTTAGCCCATATGTTTCATAATATGCTAATATAGTGCATAATACATATTAACATAGTCCCTCAAGAAATGTTAGTTCAATACCCCTTTGCATTTTTTATGTAGTTAATGACTACTGAAACTACAATACATGTTGTTTACTATTGCTTTTTTCTGTAATTGAACCTCTTTAAACACCAAATTCTCTCTGAATATATGTTACAATTATTTTTTAGTAGGGTATTTGTTTAGTTTATGTCTAACCTGTGAGTTGTGGCCAATTTTTTAAACAACCACATTTTTAGCTGGTATGTCATTTGTATCAATTATACTTTGTTATAATATACCATCACAGGTACATTAACAATTCATCTTCTTTATTTTTTTTTACAAAAGAGTTTGAAGTAGCTTTAGTTAAACAAACTAGATTTGTCTCTTTGGTAGCTTAGCTGTAGTTTAACTTCCTCCAGTGTCAAGTCATTGGTAGCTTACAAAGCTTTTAAGGGGCTTAAAAGCTTTGATTATTTCAATATTTCAATAATCGCCCTAACAAGAAGACCCTACTGCATGTGTAGCTTGTTTATGGCTGCCTTAATGATGATGATACTGTTCTTTTGGCCATTTATTTCCAAAAATTCGCAGCAATGAATTTATTTGTGTGTGTGAGCCCCATTCCTCTCCCTGGCATCATGACTGAGCCCTTTCATTCAGAGTGGGATAGGTTTCCTGTCCACCCACTTAGAGTACTTTAAGGGTGGAGTGTGTTTCCATACACACACCATTTTACACATATTCAGTTAGATGAAGAAACACTATGTACACTATAAGCTTGTTGTAAACTCTATTTGTAGATCACAGTTTTGGCAGGTTGTCCACTCATTAGGCTGCATGCTTATTTTCCATGTATGGTGTAGTGTTGTTTGTTTAGCTAGGGGGAGGATCTGTTTCACCTCGAGCCAAACTGAATTCCTTAGTCTTAAGGCATTTTCCACTTAGACGGGGAAACAAGCAAAAGGCATCCATGACCTCATATGTACACATTGATTTCAATTGTTCAATATCCCTGAAGCAAATTGATAGACATTAGAATGAGGGATTTTATAATACTTAAATTGAAGGCATTGATGAAATACAAGATGTTTTTTCCAATACAAGTGGTTATTCCGATTTAATAGTCTTTAACCTTCATTCGATCCCTACAGACCACGGAAAAACTATTTTTAAAAGCTCTAAACAATTGGAAAAAAAGAAATCAACACATGTACAAACACAAGTTAATGTGCGTACTAAGTGACTGAATGTGAAGTACCATGTCAACTCCATGAATGGAGAGAGGTTACCTATCTGGTGAATCCTTTGAGATGTATAGATGTGGGCTGTGTAAAGTTGTGGTGTAATATTAGAGGAAGTGATATAGGGTTTTGAACAACCATACATGTCAGAAACTGCTGTTTTCAGCCTCTCCAATATTGCGATTAGCTGCTTTCCTTTTAAAGACAATGTCGGATGCATTTATAGACATACAAATAATCAGCGCATAAATCAACGAATTGTAGTTGCGGCACAATATGTAAAGCTACATAATTGATGTGCATCTTCTCAGAAAAGTTACATCACACGGGGCTTACATGGTCTATCTGAGACCACAACAACTGAATTAATACTACTTAAACATTGTCTCTTTTTGGTTGGTCCTCCTCACTGGGGTCCCCATTTACACTGAGCTTCCTGGTGTTGCGCTAGGGCTGCTCGATTATGGCAAACATCATAATCTCGATTATTTGGGTCAATAATTGTAATTGCGATTATTAAATGCGATTATTCATTGACTTTGAAAACATCCATTTATTGGAGAAAAAAAATGTGAAGAGTATGTTTTTAACAGTTGATTACCCTGAACTTTAAGGATAATTCAACTGAAAAAAATAAAAATAATAATAAAAAAATAATCGTTTTATTTCGATTACGTTGTTTTCGTAATCGTTGCATGCCATAATCGTAATTGCGATTAAAATACGATGAATTGAGCAGCCCTATGTTGCGCTCAGGTAAATCTGTACAGGTCTTTGTATCTCAGATCCCTTTTTTCTCGTGTCCTGGTTTTTTCACTTAAACCTTCCCAGTCGCAGCAGAGATTCAGAGATTTTTCTCAGAATTCCGGAAGTGTCTTGTGCCTGTGACTAGAAGAAACATGGCTCCTATCTCTGAGCTGCTGGGCTGTTTATTCTCCATGAGAGCTAATCAGGCCCATCAGGCGCTTTCACACTGCGGTACTTTTCCCACAAAGGTTCATGTGAACTTAGTTCATGTGAACTCTTTTATCGCGTTCACACCAAAAAGAGCCGGTACTAAAATTAGTTCATGTGAACCTTTTTACCCCCTCGAAAGTCCCTGCTAGAGAGCAGAGAGCTGCTAGAGAGCAGGGACTTTCGAACGGCTCTTTTGTGAGAAAAGAGCTACATTTATGATTGGCTGGAAGGATTGCAAACCACGCCCCGTAAAACTCCCAAAAAGTTTTGTGAAGCCGCCATTTTATTATCCTCGCATTAGCATTATTAGCATTAGCCCAGTGCAGAAACGCAGAGAGACTAACTTATGGCAACACAAAATAAAACATGGGAGCGGTGGAGATGAGGAGGTGTCGGCGTTCTGGCGATTTACTCGGAAGGCTGCTGGGACTCCCAGCAGCTTCTACTGAAGCCAGTCCCTAACTCCGGGGACTTTGGGCGGCAGTATACGCCGTGAAGTGGTTTGCGGCCTGCCAGTAAACCCAAAGCAGAAGAAGAACAAGTGACGTCAGCGGCTTCATTTGCCTAATCCACCCCCAGGGACTTTTTCCAGTGTGAACGCGATCTGTACTTAGTTCATGCGAACTAAAGAGTTCTCATGAACTAAGTTCACATGAACCTTTGTGGGAAAAGTACCGCAGTGTGAAAGCGCCTATTCATACTGACTGATGGCGTACTGGTGACACACACTCCCTCTTCCCTTTTGTTGCAGTCCTCCACCTCACTGCTATGTGTGTGTTTTAAGTCATTTCCAATGCATTCACAAAGTCAAACATTGATAAGTGCTGTTCTGCTGTGACGCAATTACGCAAATGATTGGTGGGCCTCCTCAGGTGACTTTGGTTTGTAAAGATCTGTGGCACTGGCGATGTCACTGATTAGTCCCTGGAATGAAAGCCTGCAGACCACGAGGCATCGAGCACATGTTCTGATCTGGGGTCAGAATATTTCAGTACCAGGGACCATAGCTGCACTCTTTGAAATGCAAAAATGGAGCACACTTTTTTTGTCTTGTACACTGAAGGGAAAAGTAAAGCACTAGATGATTTTTCATGAGTCTTGGAGACTTCATTAACATTATATTTCCAAAAAAGGCACTCAATCAATCTGTCATACATGGAACATCTGTTTTAACACTTTTCAAAACCTAAAAAAACTGGTTGTAGACGGTCTAGTGAAAGATACTTTTAAATACAATAAAGTAAGAGAAGTAGTCAGCATTTTGGAGCATAATAGATCATAAAAGTCACAATTTCCACTTTGATTTCACCATTGTTTTTAGTGTGATGGTTGTCTGTTCTGGACTACTCTGACAGTAACGATAGGACACATGCTTAAACACCTCCAGGGCTAATTGTCTCTCTCGTAGGTTAAATATATTTTGTCAAAGACTGAATTGATGGTACAATGACCCCCAGAAACTAACAGACACGGACTGATGTTGTTTCCGTCTAATGTTTCACAGGAGGGTGTGGCCATGACAGGAGAGACTGCAGCTACCCTTCCCATGAGCAACCACACCCGGGAGAGGGTGACTGTGGCCAAGCTGACCCTGGAGAACTTCTACAGCACCCTGCTCTCCCAGCACGAGGAGCGGGAGATGAGGTGAAGCTGCTGCCACACAGAGCTCCACACACTTTTCGTCTTGGCGTTAATTGTTAGCTCTGACCTGCCTTGTATGACCTTTACCATAGTTCCCGAGCCCCTCACCTCAGTTCCTCTCTGCGTGTAAATGTAGCTGTTGTTTGAAGCATTGAATGTCACTCCATCTGCTGAAAAGGAAACAGCAGCCCTGTTTGTAAAACATGGTTTCCTTTATAGGCAGAAGAAGCTGGAGAAGGCCATGGACGATGAGGGTTTGCCAGATGAGGAGGTACAGTACGATTTTGTTTTCTCGTCTACAGACCTCAACATGTCACAGAATTCTTTTAAAATGTATTCTCTCACAATCTTTCTGTCTTTTTCGTGCAGAAAGTAATGCGGCGCTCACAGCACGCCCGTAAGGAGACTGAGTTCTTGCGACTGAAGAGGACGAGACTCGGCTTGGATGACTTTGAGTCTCTCAAAGTTATCGGGCGGGGAGCTTTTGGAGAGGTACATAATACAAAAAAAAGCCTAGGTCCTTGTGAGTCCACTTTGGCACAATCGTCCGTGTTTTTTTTTATCACAACTTTATACATTTTCTATTTGAACTTTCCTCCTTATTACTTACCTTGAAAATAATCCAATATTTATTCACCTTTCTGATGAATTTACTGCCATCTCCTTCAGGTCCGTTTGGTGCAGAAAAAAGACACAGGACACATTTACGCCATGAAGATTTTGAGAAAAGCAGACATGCTGGAAAAAGAACAGGTGAAGTGTTTGTCAGCACCGCAGTTCTTGATAATCCTTAAACACACTTTATATGTCTTTATATTTAGTTTTCGGTGTGTTGCGTTGCTGTCTCTCTGCAGGTCGCTCATATCCGGGCAGAGCGGGATATTCTGGTGGAGGCTGACGGAGCCTGGGTGGTAAAGATGTTCTACAGCTTCCAGGACAAGAGGAACCTCTACCTCATCATGGAGTTCCTTCCTGGAGGTTTGCACTCAGAGTTACTACAGGGAACTTATATTATATATAATGCCTCTTATGACCTACATATTAAAAGAGACCTCCAGCATGAACATTCATTTATTTACAGTTATGCCATTTGGTCTGATAAAATAAAATCTTCCAGGATCACAAGAACAGAGAGACCAAAGGGACTGAGATGGTACTGCTTTAAAAGAAATCAACAAATGAAAGTTCCTCATCGTAAATAAAAGATTGGTTTTTTTTTTTCTATGTTGTGTTTTTCTCGTATTTACTTCTTATTTTTTTTGACAGTTAAATTGTAGGGGCAGACTGGAAAACGGGTAGATGGGTTTATGACATTTATTAAACTGGATACATTACAGTATACAGCTACTCTGTGACATAACTCTGTGTTAGACATGAGCCAGACAGACATGTTGTGTATTATAATGTAGTGACCTCTGACCTTGCTGCCAGGCGACATGATGACCCTGCTGATGAAGAAGGACACTCTGTCTGAAGAGGCCACACAGTTCTACATCGCAGAGACGGTTCTGGCCATCGACTCCATCCACCAGCTGGGCTTCATCCACAGAGACATCAAACCAGACAACCTGCTGCTGGACTCCAGGGTGAGGCCACACACACACACACACACACACACACACACACACACACACACACACACACACACACACAGGGATTTCTCAAAGGTGTATTTTCTCACAGGGACACGTGAAGCTGTCAGATTTTGGCCTGTGTACGGGACTGAAGAAGGCTCATCGCACTGAATTCTACAGGAACCTGACGCACAACCCGCCCAGCGATTTCTGTGAGTCACAAATTAGATTTTCACAATAAAAGCCAAACAATATAGAAACCAGATCAAAAGTGGACCCAAGAAAGAGACTGCTTTAGTCCACAACATGTAACTGAATACATAATCACTTTTCATCTCTTCACCTTTTTGCAGCCTTTCAAAATATGAACTCCAAGAGGAAAGCAGAAACCTGGAAGAAGAACCGGAGGCAGCTGGTAAGACTTTGGCATTTTACTGAATGAAACCAGCGCACGCTCATAGCCTATTTGACCTTTCTTCGTAAATACAGAAGTGTCTGAATTGAGACACAGCATAAGGAAGAAGGAATTGTGCACTTACCTGATGCAACATGCAGAAAGAGAAAACAAATCACAGATGTTGCTTCATGGTTGAGTTGATGATCTGACCTTGTATTTGAAAATAATTGGTCAAATATATTTAAAAATGACAATTAACCAAATGTGTCTAGCTCTGAATAGCAGCAACATTATGTGTTAAACCAGTTTTAAATCCAGCTTGCCTTGGCTGTACGGAACATCTTTGACTGTCCAGTATTACCATCTTGTTTTTGATCATTTTTAAAACAAATGCCAACCCTTCTTTGTTTCTGTGTGACTTTCAGGCTTATTCCACCGTGGGAACACCAGACTACATTGCCCCGGAGGTATTCCTGCAGACGGGATACAACAAGCTGTGTGACTGGTGGTCTCTGGGGGTCATCATGTACGAAATGCTCATCGGTAAGCATGCTTTTTCCTGTGTGGTGAAATCAAATTAATTTGGAAAAGAAAATCACGGATGTTTTGCGCAATTGTGTAGATGAGTTTACAGATATTTAGCACACTGTACAGGCCACACTTTCAAAGTGTTTTTACAAATATTTTACCAGTTGCTCTGTAGATTGACACATGGATAAACGTGCTGCTGTTAGGTGTCTTCTGCAGCTGGTTTTGCTCTATCAGCAGCATTTTATATTTAAATTGTTCTAATTGTGTTCAGGTTACCCCCCCTTCTGCTCTGAGACGCCGCAGGAGACGTACAGGAAGGTGATGAACTGGAAGGAAACGCTCGTCTTCCCGCCTGAAGTCCCCATCTCAGAGAGGGCCAAAGACTTGATATTAAAGTAAGTAAAGATACATTTGTATTCACTCACATGAAGGCCACATCAGACAGCGGTCTGGACAGAGCAAAATGACCCAGATGCTGTGACATCATCAGTGTGCTCCTTGTGTGTTACAGGTATTGCACTGATCCTGAAAACAGGGTTGGAGCTGTGAGTGTGGAGGAGATCAAAAGTCATCAGTTCTTTGAGTCGGTGGACTGGGAGCACATCAGGTACATAAACACTTTCACAAAAAAACCATCCTACAGATGAACAACTGAGAAGTATAGCAAAACTTTCTGTGCAGTTTTCCTTTGATTTCTGTAGTCTTTCCTCATGGATTTTCCCACCAAACCTGATGCACATGGTTGACATATTCATAAATGTACACTGATTCTGGGGGCTAAAACTATAAATACCACTTTATTTGTAGGCTATACCACTTTTCGAAAAGCTTTACACATTAGGATAAGAGTTAGACAATACAGACTCAGACAATCAACAGGAATACAGGAACATGCTGGAACATTTCCCAGAACTCCAGAGGACAAAGGAAGTAGATTGAATATGAAATGACCCAGGGAAAAACTGAATTTTAAGAAAAGCTTACCAGCCGTTTCAAAAACACAAGCAGTTACAAGAGCTTCAAACGTCTCACGCACAGACTGAAGCGGTTGTTGATCACTTGTGGCCCCTTTTGGCCAGTTAAGAGCCATGAAGTCAGCAGAGAATACCGTGCATAACACAGATGAAACCAGCAATATTAGGTCGTCTATGTCTGGAAAAAGGCTCTTCTTGCATGATAGATAATACTGCTAATGCACAAAGCAGTTTCAGGAAAATTCAGAGTGTTCGAATGTGTAGGATTTAAAACGTTATGTGTTCTTCCTCTTCCTGTTGCCTCCTCAGGGAGCGGCCAGCAGCCATCTCCATTGAAATCAAGAGCATCGACGACACTTCGAACTTTGACGACTTCCCCGAATCGGACATCCTTCAGCCGGGTTAGTCTTATAAAATATTCTGCTTGCATTGAGATATATTATTGCGGAACATAAGCCTTGAGTCACATTCTGACAGAGGAAGGCCATGGATGAGTAATGCCAGATGATTGAAACAATGATTTTTCTTATTATTATAATAGCTTTAACATGCCTTTTCATTGACATTATATGATCTGGGTTGGCCATGATACCTTCATTTTGACGCCATAATAACGCCTGCTTTTGTCATGTGTCGATTGGCAGCTAATGCAACGGAGCCGGACTTTAAGTCGAAGGATTGGGTGTTCCTGAACTACACATACAAGCGCTTCGAGGGTCTGACTCAGCGAGGCACCATCCCCACATACATGAAGGCAGGGAAGGCCTGACAGAGCTGTGGAGCAGGAACAGACGTTTACGGACACAGGGTCGGGCCTCGGAGCCCCGCTGCTGCTGAAGGCTCTCAGCCTCTCAGAATACATTTAACCCTCGTCACAACTTATTTAGGTCTGCTTCAAGAACGACAAGAGCTCGGAAACGAAGGAGCGTTACCGCATTACCTCGGTTGTTTATATATCGTATACACACGTGCCGTCTTTAGCCATAGCTCTCAGGCCAGCTCCATAACTAGGACTTTAAAATCAGCTTGCCTGCATGTACCTGCAGCATATTGCTTCTGGAGAGGCGACTTACTTCCAAAAGGGAATATTGGGAATGAGGATCGAGTACAAATCATTTGCACAGTTTCTACACTGGTGTCTAAATTAGCTCTGATGCAAACGTAATGTCTCATACTGAAGACTCTACTAAAACAGGCCCCCTTCACTTCCTGTCTGTGGATTTTAAACGAAAGTTGTAGGACGATTTCTAGATATTTGGCTCACTCTGCTTCATATTTCAGAGTTACTCAAACTAAAACAGATATCATCTATTTTTCAAAAGTGTAAAAAAAAGATTTACTGACTGTCGGAAGCATCATGTTTTGGGAGAAAAGCTTCGGAAACCACAGCATCATGTGAGACAACTTCTGCTGATCCTGGTGGTGCTAGTTAGCGAAATGCTATCCCAAATTTAAGGGATAGAAAATATAAACGAATGAGGGAGTTCAATTAAAGTTAAAACCCTGCTGGATCCGTCATGTTGATTGAATCATATACATGCCAATCTAAGTGCAGAGTGTGTCAGCTGTGTTGTTTTTCAGATCAGGTCTAACGCTAATGATTATTTCCCCAGATTGAATTCTAATAACTTACCTCTCAGATGGCAAAACGTGCAAAGTGCCTTTTTAAAAAGCTGATAAATATTTAACCAGATGTCTTGCAATGTTATCATAGATGAATCAGAAGGTATGAACTAGTATTATAAACTATAATTAAGCTATTAAAAGGGGAGGAACATTTGAAAAAGGGCCTGCATAGAAAGAATTGTATTGGTTATATGAGTAAGCAAGGGGCTCATAAAAACAGTGCACCTCTGAGAAACTAAATTAGAATATTGGTGGGTATCTTAGACAAGTATACTTGGTTAATTTTGAATAAAGTATCCAATTACTGTATTTAATGTTACCTTTTCCCCCGCGCCCTAAAAGCTTAATGTCAGGCATGTCTTACTCACACACAGCGCTAAAAATAGTTACCAAATAACTATTCACATGTAGCTGTGGCTTACTGCACTTAACTTACACTACCTAACACCTTTCCAAGAGTGCTACACTTGGGGATGGAATAAATTGCCATTACTATTTCTACACTGTAGAAAGATGAGTGAGCAGAGTGTCAATACAAGCTATTGATGTACATACAGGGACAGGAAATATAGACTGTAGACACCACAGGGCTCCCGTACTGAACCGATCGTGGTGCTATTTGAGGAATTGATAGAGAAAGTGGTTTTTCAGTCTGATAGATTAGAGGATTGTGTGATAACACCGTCTGTTGATATTATTTGTTTTGTTTAACTCATTTATCCAGGTAGTCCGGTTGCAAATAGCCAATAATAAAGATTTAGAGCTGCATTGTCGCTAGTAGAAACAACATCAGCAGTGTGCAAATTAGGAATGGCCAATGTGTTAATATCTTAATTATTTATAATGTTTTATGTTTGTTTAAAATGAGATGTTAATATTCAGTGTATTTTTAAATTGGATAATTTCTATATCACCTAAAAATGGGGGAACTTTACATTTGTAAAAATGGTATACAATTGTTGCAGGTGGAGACGTTTCAAAAGAAGTTCCTACACTTCCCATAATGCAACTTGATAGCAGCTTTTATTATACAGAAGTAATTGAACTGTTTTGATGGAAAATCCGTCGAGTGCCCCTTTAATTACAAACACAAATTGTCAAGAAACACAAACTTAAACAATCTGCCATAATACAAATCCAAAAAGTATCATTGTAACCCAAATACCATGCTGCAGTGATGATGTAATTCTGTAGTCCAACCCTAAAGTTAGCACCGCCCTGATTCCCGTGACAAAAGCTAATTGGTTGTTTCCATTAGATTCTGTACCATTGCATAACATAATCTCTAAAGTGTATGATACTTACTCATAATCTTTACATAAACACTACTTTTATATTTTTGGCGTAATAAGATAACATTAGGCTATGAAGGAACTACAGCATTGTCACTTGACTAAGCCACCACCTAAGCTAAAGGTGGCTAATGTTCAGCGTGATGATGTTTAGTAGTCTTATTAGGACACTTGGAAGCTTACAAAAAAACAGTGGGGGGTGTCGTTATGTTTTTATGTTGAGGTTAGAAAGTTTAATCTCTTACATTTGTGTTAAGAAAGTGAAGTTTAATAAATTCTGAGTTTCAGGACTCGTTTCTGCAGCATCTATTCAAAATCAATGCTAATCATAGGACAGATGCATGATGGGGGATTTTGTTGATGGCTGCTGCTGATTGGCGGGTATGTTGTATCCATACACACATATGGTTGTATCATTGGAAAGCCGATACAAAATGCTGTATTGAAAACCAAACAGTTACATGAGAAACTGTGACTGTTTGGGACATTTTCATGAAGGACATGAAGTCATGCTATTTGTTGTGAGGTGATGTGTAACTTAGTTCAATGTCAAACTCATGTCCTGTGTTGCGTTGCAATAGAGAAATTATTACTTTTTCCCCCTCAAAAGTAGATCAAAAGAAGACTGCATTTGGCATTCATGCAATTCTATAAACGTTCAAAATGACTTGAAATCCATTATTGTCATTTTTCTTCAATGGGAGCTAAATTATAATGAATTGAGTACAAGAACATTTCACTTTTATCACACGTTAAGCAATTAAATATTATAATAATATATCCCCTGCCAGTCTAACCCCTCCTTAGGCCAGGACCATGTTGTGAGAGGTATTTTGTGTAATGCTGTGCACATACTGTTGTAGACACTTGAAGGAAACTATCTGTGGAATTAAGGAAATGTTCATTAATATATTAAATATTTCAGTCGTCTTGGTTTCTTAGTTTTTTGGGGGAAGGGGAGAAGGTCTTGCATCTTTGTTTTCTCTATATCGCTACACCAGGGTTGCCAACTTTGGGTACCTGGCTGGAGTGATATTTTGATATCATGGGTTTAATTACACATATGCGCACTAAATGACTGCTATCGTGTCAGTAGTGAGACCTTAGCATATATATAGGATATATACAATATATACACAATATTGGACACAGACTATAAAGGGCACAAAGTTTCATTCACTAATGAAAGTCAAACACATGTTTGTTTCCACTGTTTTATTGTGTGCCTGTCGCGATAAGCAATTAATTGACTTATCGTACGATAAATAAAAATGAACTCGACAACTTTTCTGACCTCAATAAATTGCCATGAGGATGTGACTAGCAGTTTGAAAGGATGTACTTGAATTATTATTATATATTATCATTATGTCAGTGGTCTAAAATGGTCATACAACGGTGCTGACAATATTATCGTTTATCGCAATAATTTCCAGGAAAATGTATACAACAAAATTAATTATCGTGAGAGGCCTATACATGAAACACACACACACAAATCTACAGACTTACTCCAAACTGGCAAATATATTAATTAACACACTCTCATATACTCTTTGACTCTATTTTTGGCCTAGTAGAACAATAAGCAGCAGACTTTTACTTTTTATCATTTCTACTTAATCTTAGATCTGCGCATGCGCAATGCGGGTCGGGGGATTGACCAACTGCTCTGCTGTCTATTAACGTTGTTAAGAGTGGTGGGGGCGGGGAGGGAGCGGATCGACAGCTTGAGCAGCTGTCAACTCAACATTGTAAATAACCAACCAAAAACGATCGCCGGTTCATCTTGTTTTTGGCGTGAGAATAGTTTGGGCAGCGTGAGAGCGTGATTGAGAGTGAAAGCGTGTGTCACACGCCAGATGCGTGAGAGTTGGCAACACGTTGATTTAAATAAAAAGGCAAATATGGAAAGAATAATTGGAATAGATGAGTAACAGATAAATGAGGTTAACACTGAGAACACTAGAGAGAGCTCTCCTGCAGATCAGGACTCACAGCTCTCCAAGATTTATTTGTAAAAAATTACATTAAATTAACCGACATTTATTTAAGTCTTGGAGGGGGTTCGTGGTGTTTCCGGCTCGGTAATGTGCACGGTGACCGGGGACCATGGATGTATAATAAGCCGGGGACACGTTACTTTCTATTATACGGGTCTTTTAAAAACGGGTCAAAGAGCAAACCGTGGGCACGTGTCCATCGCATTATATAATATATAGGTCAACACGTTTCTAGTTGGCACGTGTAGCCTTCTGTCTTATGTAAAGTCTCGTGCAAATGCCTTGAATTACATTTATGTAGGTGAGGGCCAAAGATCGTCAACTTAAAGTAATGCGTCACTGAGTGTTTTTTTTTCAGGGAAAGGAGGACACCATTAATAAATATAAACTGCATTGTGTACTTCTTTCTTTTATTCCCTTTTCACATATATTGTTACAAACTTCCCAAAATATGATCCTGCACTTAGTTATTGTCCATTGTGTTCTTCTTTAAAAAAAAAAAAAAATGGTGTCTACTTGAAATGAGGGCAGAGTGAGACCTCCTGCCTGTCACAGCTGTTTTAGGGGGTATTTGCAATTTGTCTGGACATCAAACTGCCCGATGGATGCTGGATGCTGTTTGCCCATCCACTGACAATTATCACATGTGATACAAACTGGTAGAACAAAGTGTTCCCTGTAGCCAAAAGCCAAAACACGTACACATTCACCTGTTTGTTAGTATGCATAAGTGGGGTAGGTAATTCACTTCAGAAATACTTGTTATATTCCATGGAATGCTCTTAACATCCCGATAGCAATTAATGCTTTGACAATAAATACATACACACATTTCATCTGTGGAAGCCGTGGCGCTGTAAAAAGCACGACCAATTATTTTCACCGGCCCGACTAAAATAACTGGATGGCCTACCTGCCTGTCAGCCTTCCATGCACTATTGCCCTCATTCCATGTGCGCGTTCGTGTTGGAGGAGGGGCTCTGTAAGGAAGTCTGAAGGAAGGTGCAGATTTTTTCCGGCTGCGTACTTTCAAATTCTAGCTCACTCAAGCTGGTTTCTCCATTCTCCTACCTACCTTTCAGTCAAATAAAAAACTCGTTAAAAAGTATGCGAAGACCATTTAGTAGCAGAAGATTTTCTTATGTGGCACACAATATACCATCATATTCAGGTCCAAGTTGCTGCTTCACGGTGAAATTAATATGGAGGCTCCCCTATGCAGTGAACCCAGGTGGACAAGTGATAGCTGTTCCGTGTTTCCGTGAAGACCAGTATCGCTCAGGTTTCTGCCCCCACCTCCCTTACAGGCGAGGGGAGGAGAAAAAGGAAGTGAATTATAAAAACGACTTCCACCTCTCCACTGTAACTACTACAGCCGGTGACTCCGCATGCGGCCGCAGCCTCCACCGGGCACACCGGTTCCAGTCTGCGGCATGTCGGCCGGCGGCTGCGACGGGGCGGCGGACTGGCCAGCAGGTAGGAGCCTCGGGACAGAACCGACTACTGCTGCGTTAAGGCAGTCTGCTTCTTAACTGTGACTGAGGGAGGCTTTTTGTAGCTCTTTGGCTAGAAGAATAAACCAAAACAGACTACGACTACTAACTACTACTAACTAGGCTACTAGGCTACTACTACTACTACTACTACTACTACTTCTTCCAGAGTCTTCTGAACTGCTCGGCTGTAAAGTTAGTTTAATGGCTGACAGAAAGCCGGTTGTTAAGAGTAATGTGTTGATAACTTATGTTGACATTAGTGGACCATACGTTATTATGGTTGAGTAGCCTGGCTGTGGCCAACACACCGACTCGCCCCCAGCGAAGGCCCGTGTTTTGTGTCGATTCGTGAGGGCTCAGTGTGTAATCATGTCAAAGCTAACTTTTACCCATTTCTTTAAAAAAGTCAAAACTCATTATACTACTGCCATTTGTAACAAAACCTGCCACTGTTTATTTAGGAGCTTAGCATGTCACGTGGTTTCACGAGGCTCCTCTCAGCTGCTGCCCAAAGTGGGTCAGTAGATCACTAGACTGCATCATAAAACAAATATAAACTAGCTAAACAAAAAGTTGTCTGTCTTGCAATATTATCCGAATGAAATGTTATTACACAGAACATTTATTAGGATAGGATACTTGTAAGATAGGATACTTGTATGTTAACTTCAAGTGTTACACATCACTTTGATTTTCTTTGGTATCCTTGTCAATACTATAATCAAAGTGTATTTCACAATTATGTAAAAACATAACATTTTTTATAGTATCATTTAAAAAATACACATGCTATATGTAAATGTAAGAATTGAAAAATGTACAAACAAATGTTGTTTCTGAAAATCTCGCCCCCCATTCGTCTCTTTTCCGAGACAAATGTCACATTGTAAAGTAAACTTGTCCGGAGAGGGAAGAAGGCCAGTGTTACAGCATAAAATAAACGTTAGGTAAGACGAGAGCCCAGATCCCATTCAGCTCAAGTGCCTGTTAAACTTTAAACTCGAGCATAGCTGTGTGTGAGTGTTTTTGTGTGTGTGTGAGGGAGCAGGCTTTAAAGATCTCCCACAGTCAGACAATCATTCCTGAGTATAATATTAGCCTTTTAAAAATAATTACCACGAACCACTGCAAACACTTTGATGAGTCATCCTAATGTTAGCTCACAAAAAAGTTTGGATTTGAGGACTAAAAAGTTCTCAAATATTAATGGATCTTTTCAGGTTGTAAAAAAGTGCTACAATATCTTCAGTTGCAAAATATGACAAACATTAATATCGAGAATGCACAAATAATTGTCAATAATATAGATATAAGATATCTAGAATCTATAAAAGCAAAGACAAATACTTTTTATTAAAGTAGCAAAGTCAAGACATTACTTTGTTCAAAGCATTTGCTACTTAATAAAACCAGGTTAACTCTTCCTGATGAGCTCTTTTTATTCCCTAGCCAACAAATAAAAAAATGAATGGTGATTAACAAAAATAGTCTTTGTTAAGCTTTTGCCACTAATCGCTGACGGCCCGTCCACACGGCGGCGTGCGTTGAAGCTTCAACGCTTCTTCCCATTCACTTTGAATGGGGTGACGTCACGCTTTTCCGAACTGCATTGTGGTTCCGTCGCTTTGCTTTGCTCGTGTTGCTCGCTTCAAAAGTTGAGAAAAGTTAAACTTTTGAAGCTTCGACGGAAGCGCCAGCCAATCAAATCATATGCCAGTACAAGCTCTAGCCAACCAAACCGCGTGCTTGTGTATCCGGGGCGGGAGATTCATGTGATTGGTTGTTGGTCGAGTTTCAGACACGCCCACCGGCAAGCTTCAACGCACGCTGCCATGTGGACGCTGCGTGAAGGTTGTTGTTTCAGTGTCTCCTGACTAAGTTGCCTGTCTTCATATTTCAGATGTCTCGGATGGCTCCTCGCTGCCCGCCGTCGAGCTGCCAAGGAAACGGAAGGGAGATATGGAGGAGAGGTCAGGCCCGCATGTTGATATGTTATCATAAGTACTCCTTCCTGGTATAAAATAACCCACATTATGTCCTATCTTGCAGGCTTAGCATGGACTGTAAGATGGAAGATGACCTCAGCAGGTAAACAAGCTTCCTGGCATTCTTCACACACATTTGATAAGAGAAAACTGGCTAAGAGTTTGATTTTTCATCCCTTTAATTGCAGATCTGAAGAAGAGGATCAGCAAGTCAAAATAAAATGCTTCAGGTATTTCTATTTTTACATCAAATGACTCTTTGCAAAAGTATTTTGTTCTTTTGGATTGGTGTTATTTACAGTGTAATGTAGGAGCTTGTTCTTTATTAGGATCCCCATTAGCACTAGCATGAGCATTGGCTATTCTTCCTGGGGTCCTCACACACACAAAACATACATAAAACAAAACTGATAATTGAAACCATAATATAATTACACTTTGAAGTATATATTTCCCGCCAAAATGGATCCAGTTGGTACAAATGACTGATGTGTGACTGTTCCTACAGGGAACCTCACCGACAGATAGAGAAGCGGCGTAGGGACAAAATGAACAACCTGATAGACGAGCTGTCGGCCATGATCCCCGCCTGTCAGCCCATGGCGCAGAAGCCGGACAAACTGACTGTGCTGCGGAAAGCTGTGCAACATCTGAAAGCCCTCAAAGGTAACTCTGAACCAGCCTGGGCATTTTAAACATCAGTGGCCTGTGTTACCCTCCATCTCAAAGTGAGTGTCTGGTGTGTTTTCAGTCGGGACCAGCAGCGCATTTGCAGACTCGACCAACAAGCCCTCCATCCTGCCCCAGGACGACCTCAGGCAACTTCTGCTCAGGGTAGATCCTCACGGACCCACAGAAAACAGTTTAGAAAGATTTCAACACAACATGCTGATGGAGACCAAACCTATCTATCTATGAAATATCTCTATCTTTCTTTGTAGCAGGCTGCGGACGGCTTCATGTTAGTAGTAAGCTGTGACCGGGCTAAAATCCTCTTCATCTCCGAGTCTGTCTCCAAGATCCTCAACTTCAGCCTGGTATGTCGCACTTCAACATGATGAGCTATAAATACATATATGTCGTTTGACTTGAATCATATGGTAAAAAGCGTGAGTTATTTTTTAATGAAAGGTTGTTCCAAGTAGATTTTTGCCATTAAGTCTGTACATGTTATGTGTGCAAACTAAAGCACATGACACACTGTGTTGAATCTCTAATAAAGACTTACTGAAACTTTAAATATTCAAGGCCAATGAAGGCCACCAACCTCTGAGCTTCTTTTCCTTTTTTTATATTCCGTTTGGCAGCCAGAACAATAGCCACACCTGCTGAGCTTTGATACGGATCATAAACAAAGAATGCAGATAAGGAGGTGCATCAGGATACATAATCAAACTGAAAATGCAAGAAAAACTAAACTGGTAGCAGATGTCCTACAAAGACAACAACATACAGATACAGAGATAGAACATCACTACAAAGAGACAGGAACAAAACGAGCTAAACTACAACAACATCTCAATGTATTGGGTTCACAGTTGGAGCTGACTGGGCAGAGCTTGTTTGATTTAATTCATCCCAAAGACATCAACAAGGTGAAGGAACAGCTGTCATCTTGGGAGTATCCACAGGAACACATGATCGATGCTGCCAGTAAGTCTGTTTGCCCTGTAACGTCTAAGAAACTGTGAAATCTCCATCAAAGTCAAGATCACGGTTGAGACATACGTCAAAGGGAAATATGTCTCTGTGTGCGCAGCTGGGCTTCAGGTCCAGACGGATGCCCCCATCAAGCCGACCCACTTGTCCTCTGGAGCTTGGAGATCCTTCTTCTGCCGGATGAAGCACAGCCGGGTGGCGGGGAAGCAGGAGGAAAAGCACCAGCTGCCCTGTACTGCTAAAAAGAAAGGTGGGTTCAGACTGGAATCCAGCCATCAGGGTTTAAACCAGACCTATCATAAATGATCCTAAATCCTTCATACTGCGCCTTTTTATTGTTTTTTTGCAGACATGGCACTTTCAGCAGATTAAACAGAGTAAAGAACATTTTGTCTTTTTAAAGGAAAGAAAAATACCCATTTTCACAGGCAATAATCCCACCTTTTTAACATATTTAATGACTTTTTTGTACCTCCAGACACCTCCAGATACTGCACCCTGCACTGCACTGGATACATGCGGAGCTGTCCGAGCAGCCAGCTGGATTCAGAAGGGGACGCTGAGACCCCCAGCCTGAGCTGCCTGGTGATGCTGTGCCGGCCCCTCCCCCACGGCTCCCCCCAGTCTCCCAAACACATCAACGCCAAGCCCTCTGCGTTCGTTACCCGCTGTGCCATCGACGGGAAGTTCACTTTTGTAGAACAACAGTGAGTGACCCGATTCCACATGTGTAGAGGCTCATTTCTATTCACTTTCCATTTTCACTCGCACTGTTTTTGAAGCATCACAATCCTGAGAGATATGGAAAGTCAGAGTACTGAACGTCCCCCTGTGTCCTCTCTCTGTCCCCAGAGCCACCACAGTCATCGGTTATCTGCCGCAGGAAGTTCTCGGCACGTCGTGTTACGAGTACTTCCACCAGGACGACCTGCAGCACCTCGCAGAGAAACACAGGCAAGGTGATGGAGCAAAGCAACACAGTTCATCTGATTCTATTGGAGAAATTGGAAAATGTGTTGTTGTGCAGAAGTTCAAGATAATTGACCAACTTGTGTCCAATCTCTTGGCAGTTCTTCGAAGCAAAGAGAAGATTGAGACGCAGTGCTACAAGTTCAAAACGAAATACGGCTCCTATGTTTCCCTCCAGAGTCAGTGGTTTAGTTTCACAAACCCATGGACTAAAGAAGTTGAGTTTATCGTGTCTTCAAACAGGGTTATGTCGTAAGTAATGATACATTTATGAAGATGAGTGTTAACAACAATTTGGGTTTTAATCCTGATACAATCTACTCATCATGATGCCATAACAGCTTTATTCTTGGATGTAACAGCGTAAATACTCTTTTGCACCAGCAGGGGGCCCGGCCACATAAAAGACGAGGAAGCAGGCCGCCTGAAAGCTATGCAAGGTCATAAATACAGTGTATTCTGAGGATTCACAAAGGCTGTTATTTCTTTTGTATGATTTTTAATAAAGTTTGTTTTTACTCTGTTCTTCTTCCTCAGAGGAGATACCCATAATTCCCAGCCTTTCCAATGGTGTGGGCACGATGATCTACGCAGGCAGCATAGGGACCCAAATTGCAAATGAACTCATCGACTCATACAGGTGCATTGTGTGTCCATGTGTACAAACATGTTAACCTATCGCAGTGATTGTAACTTGCAACGTTCAGGGATTTTATTCATTGGCAAACATCTAAACATTAGATATCAGCAATAATATCTGAATGTAAATTACCTTAAATTCAGCGCATGTGTCATCACCGTAGGACTGCCTCACTATCTGTTGGCCTTATGGAGAAATGTGTTAAAGATGTCATAAGTGGTTTTAGGTGTATATGTCAAATAGGAATAGGATATAAAAAAGTATACACTGCATGAATAAAAACATCTATATCAAGCTTAAAATAATATTTCTAATTCATTTAGAAACTATAAATACATATTTACAGTATAGTATCTCCCGTTTTTAAGCAGGGTTAACTCCTCTCCGTCCAGCGGAGCTTCCAGTCCGTTTGGCTCGACCAATGAGAAATGTCCCCTGGTGTCTCCACCAATCAGCACCAGTGTGAGTGTCCCCTTGATCACCACAGCCCCTTTGGAGGCAAATTACACTTACAGTACTCACAGTCCTTAAACTTTTCCCTCATCACCCTTCACAGCCATGTTTTGTGTTTTATTGTTATATGTGTTCCTGTCTGTGTTTAGCGGCATAAGCATGGCGAGATAGTTTGTATGGAAATATATGTTTACTTGTAATTGTAAGCTAATGTTGGTGCTGTGTAGTATTGATATCCAAATTATCAAAACTAGTATTTTATACATTGTTTGAAGAAAATTAATCTGGACATGGGAAGTTATGATGCAAAAATATATAAGAATTCAATATAAGAAGCGGTAACAATATATTTAAATCATAATTGTAAAAAATAGATTGCATTCAAGGCAACTGCACACATTGCACCGGTGTAGGTACCATATCTGCACGGCCTACCAGATCAGCACGGGGTCCGTTACGCTTACTAATGACGCCACGCATTGGCTGTACGGCAACCCAAGAGGACATTTTACACGGCCAAATTCCGCAAAGAATATTTAAAAATAACAATCGACAGTGAATGTATGTTAGTGGAACTGTGTCAGGAAAGGGATATGATACATATTAACTTTCAATGTTATGCATTTCAGTTCTTCAATAACATTACTTAATTAACACTTCACTTTCCTGACACAGTTCCACTAACATACATTCATTGTCGATTGTTATTTTTTAATATTCTTTGCGGAATTTGGCCGTGTAAAATGTCCTCTTGGGTTGCCGTACAGCCAATGCGTGACATCATTAGTAAGCGTAACGGACCCCGTGCTGATCTGGTAGGCCGTGCAGATATGGTACCTACACCGGCATTGCACTGCACACAAATAGACAAAGTTAGTCAAATCTGTTTTTTAAAAAAAAATGTTTTTCTGAAAGAAGATATCAAAACGCTATAAATGTCAATACTGACCAGATCATAAACCAACTATGTTTGGCTGTTGTGTCTCGCCTTGATTACACACGTCATGGGAGACAGGTGTTTTAATGTCACGTGCCTTGTTTCAGGCGTCCAGCGGAGGGGGGGCAGCAAGCAGCTCATCACAGTCTGACTCCAGGACAGCAGCTGGCGCCAGCAGTGCGACTGCTGACAGTTCAGGTACTGTTAACAGGATTATGAAATATCCAATCTGAGGTGTCATCAGTTATTCTCTACTTATACACAAAGAATAATAAGAAACTCGCACAACCTTCCCAAAGGCGTAAAGAACTCTTTCAGTCTGTGGACACCCCTCCTCAAACTGATTCAACAGTATAGAACAATCCAACATATGTGCTCACAGTACATATGTGTATCTTTTATGAAGTTTAAACAACCATTCCTAAATCCTTTCAAGAATAGCCTTGAGTATTCCAAGAACAGTTTTTTAGTTGGGAAACCATGGCAGTGATTTCGGGTTTAGAGATCATTTCTAATTCTCACACCCAAAATGTTTCAATGCTACTGTTTGAGTTTTCCTCCTGAAGAGTTGTGTCTTGGCTCTGTTTCACCAGGCCAGGTGTCTCAGCTGGACCTGGATGGCATGGTGGTGCCGGCGCTGAGCAGCTTCAGCAGCGACGAGGCAGCAATGGCCGTCATCATGAGTCTGCTGGAGACGGAGGTAAACGTGGGTCAACCGGGGGACTACGAGGACTTACACTGGCCTTTCTAAAGAGTGCACAGACTTTAAACTCTTACCAGCTGGGGGCCGTTTCCTGCTGGGAACCCTCAGCGGATGTTTTATTCTGCGTCTGACTCGGATGACTACAGCTGACCTGCTGGAATTCTACCAAAGACTCCACCATGTACTAACAAGATTTAATGGGATTTATTGTTACTGTAATTACCTTGTTGGCCCCCTTTGTCTCTCACCTGGTTGTGAGGTTCAAGTTTCCCGGAGCTTGTTGGGATTTAGTGTATTCACGGACATATCAGCGTCCTCAGAAGGGTTCGAGCCCAATGAGTGAGCATTGTCTGGAGGAGGATCCCACTCCGCTGTGTGCAGTGCTGCTAGAGAAACGCCTCTAATGCACGTTTCCTTTTTTAAGTATCTGTTTTCATATGAAATGTGCACTTAAGGGCCATGCCTTACTGTGTTCGCATATCACATTATTCCACTGAACTCCTGGGAAAATATGAAACGGCCATCGTCTCAACAAGGACATGCTAACATGTTTTAGACCAGAGGTTATTACCGTCGTTTATACCCTTTCTTCTAACCCGTAAACCTTTTGAAACAACCCAACACTGCACTGAGTATGAACAAACTGTTTATCTCCAAATGTCCAATCACCACAACATCCTCTAAAAGGAAATGAAAGTTTAGCCCACTTTCACTCAGCTCTCCAGCTATTCTGGATCAGATGTTGGTGTTCTTTTTGCAGAGGCCCAGCAGAGACACATGTTCAGTCCCCCATTAGCAACAAAAAGGCCTGAATGCAGCCACAATGCAGCTAAGGATCTGAGCAAGCGCTGTGGCTATTTATTTTCTTATGACCTATTTTCAAAATAACCCGCTTAATGCCATTCATCAGGAGAGGGCATGCTAAAGGAAATAACATTTGATTTGACCCCAGAATAACCCCTGGAATGAATGAGTTTGGATTTCACTTTTACACTTGCCTTCATACTGCACCTGTAAATTGTTGGTATATCACTGGTTCCTCTAATATTGAAAGAAAATGATGATTGTGTTTCCTTGAACAAATGATTACCCTGACAAATGTCAATTGTAAATCAACCTTTATTCGGCTTACACGCAAATCTGTTGGAAAATATTTGCTGATGCCACCAGGGCCATTTATTGAACACGCCCTGCTGTCACAGGACAACATGATTGTTGTGTGTGCAAAGTGTGGTTGATGTATCTGCTGTAATAAGGAATGAAGGTATTTGAAAGTAAAGTTTTTTTCTTTCATAAATTGTCTGAACTCTGTTGTGTCTAGTTTAGATATTGTTTTATAATTTAGCATATTTGCCAGAGGCAGGAATCTCATGCAGTACTCCTTATTTGCTATTCAACTGAATTCATCATTTGTTTCCAAAATAAGCACATTGTAAGGAACCGAACAGTTGTCTTTTATTGTTACTCATTGAAACAATACGGAAATAAGGAGGGACAAACAGCAGGATCTCAGTGTTGGTTTTTGCACAGATATGTACATAGTTTTAAAAGTGTGACTAAATGTTTACTCTTAATCAAAGGCTGTTAAGTTTTTATCTCTTAAAATGGCATCCATTTATTTTAAGGTTTTTTATTTTTTTGGCTTTTAATATAACATAGAATGGGAAATGAATCGGGCACTTTTAAAACAATATGTTTCCCTACTGCATGTAAAAAAAATGTATTTATCTAGCCTTATTTTATCATAAATAATATGGGTTTTTTTTATTGAAAAAATATTTAGAGTGAAAATCTACAAATGTCTTCTTTTTAGTGCTGAAAAACTGAAGCCAATGTAAATATGTAGACTGTGTGTCTGTCTCTCTCCTGTGAGCAGTCTGGAAGAGCTTATCTGTCGAGTAAACTAAAGCCATCATCCCCTATTACCCAACTTCCTGTTGCTGCTTTCCAAAGCACCAAATCTGTTTAGGTGTACACACAGCTCATTCCTGTTTCTGCCACTGAAGTCGTGTCATGACGCTGTGATGAATTACATCCCTCTTTTCTCTCGCCTCTTTAGCACACATTGAAAACATGCTCTGCCACCAACTGTTCCACTAAACCAAAGTCTCTTTATTCAGCTTGCATGGCAGTCTTATTATAATACAACAAATAGTTAACAGTCAATTATTTATGAAAGGCCGTTTAATCCCCCCCGTCAAAAAGTGTAAAGTGCAGTTTGTTGGTGTGCCTGCAGCTGGAATGAGCCTGGACACAGTTTATGAATGTAGATGCAGTAGAGCAAGGGAATATCAGATCAATGTAAATGGTCACAACTACAGCTGACATTTGAAAAGAATTCAAGTGTATCAGAGTACATAGGTCCACACTCGTTTCTTATCTCGCTGCTCAAACATCAATGCATTTCTGGGTCGGACCTCCTTACAGAGAACCCTCGTTACATCACACAAGATGTTTAAAATGTTTTCCTTTTCAAGCCAGCCTTTAAACTAAGAATGTTGTGTTAATTAGTTGTAATTATTCTTCAAAATACTGAACACAGTACCAGTCAATTGCCAAACATAAATCAAACTTTTGCCATAGATAGTTGGGACAGAATAAATTGTGGCAGTACAAACATGTTTAACATTTAGTTCACAATTCTGGTGAGAACAAAAGGATACATGTAAAGGTCCCCGATTATACTCTTTTTCAACAATATATTATAGGTCTCAGATGTATACACTACGTCTGTGATGTGGCTCGAAATACCAAACGGATCATTGTAGCATCCCATAAACCCCTCGGTTTCAGCCCTGTTTCAAAAGTGCAGATTCTGTTTCTGTAGCTTTAAATGCAAATGAGCTGCTGCTGGCCACGCCCCTCTGCAAGATGATTGGTTAAAAAAAAATCACAATGGTGCTCTAGGAGGAGATTCAGGTGATAAGGTGGACGGGTGTTACCTTGTTTTGTTATTGGCTAAGGGTTGGACAACCCAAATCTGATCAGCTCATTTTCAGCCAGGTTTTTATAGAAATGGATCAGGAGAAAAAGAGGGAAGATTTTTCCTGAAACGTTCCGAATCTCTTAACACAGAGGGGACATATATTTATGTATAAAAGATATGAACATTTGGATTTTGCATAATAGGTGACCTTTAAAACGATCCCTGTATTATTAGCACACACTTGCATTCAGAGTCTGCAGCAACAACATTTAAATCCCGCCAATCTGTTTTCTCCACGCAGTGTGGGAAAGTATCAGCAGGGAGACCAGGGACAGTTGTAACACCTTCAATATCTCCAATCACAAACAAGCTAGAGTGATGAAACTCACTCTGCACATGCGCAGTTAGATGGTAAGATCGCTGAGAAAAAAAAGGAGCCATGTTTGAATTTCTCGCGTAAGACATCAGCAAAAGTGTGTTTGAGGTAAAATATTAACTCAAATTATATGATGTATTTTTTGGATACTGTCTTGAGTTCAAATGTCAAGGAATCCAAACTAGTATTATTAGAATCACTGTTTTGTAAGCTACAAATATAACTAGCTAAATATGGGTCAAGCTAGCAATCAGGCAGGTTCACAGGTGGAAGCAAGACTGGTGGTCCTGGGACGGTTGTAACATGGCACATTTACTATGATGGCTCATTTGCTTGAATGATCAATTGTTCATTCAAGCATACAGTTGTATTGTTGGTTGGTGTGCATTGTGCCTGTAAAAATAAACAGAATAACATATGTACATTAGGCCTTAAGTGTGTGTGTGTGTGTGTGTGTGTGTGTGTTTACAGTATGTCAGAAAGAGGAAGACAGACAGGGGAGTGCCACTTGCTCTGCTGCAGAGGGCCTCAAATGAAGTTGAGAAGGGCAAATCATTCAGGGAAGTGGCAAAGTCCCTGGATATATGCCATGTCACCCTGTACCGGTTCCATACAAAGAGGCTGAGGTTGGAGAGTCAGGGATCACAAACACCCCCAAGAGTAGGCTACTAGACACCAAAGAAGGTGTTCTCAACAGAGCAGGAGATGCTTTTGAGAGACTACCTGATGGAGGCAGCTGATTTATATTATGGTCAGCTCAAAGGAGGTAGGTCTACATCATTAAGGTAGAAGCACCTCTCAGAGAACAGTGTAATCCTTCACAGAGGATGCTGCTGTGTGTGTTATCTGTTATCCTGTTCATTGTTTGATGGAGGATGTGTGAAACCCCATTCAAATCTTGTTGCCTTAGAATTTGACAGCTTTCCCTATTTGTTGTCATGTAGTGTGAAAAAGGTAACCGTTATTAACATGTTACAACCGTGCCTGGCATGTGTTACAACTGTCCCTGTACACAAGGACAGTTGAGTTAAAAAAATATATATACATTTTCCAACCTGTACTTACTTCATAAAAACATCTTAAATACATTGTTTCAGTAGCTGACATAGTGATAATGTATAATATAGCAAAATGGCTATCCTATTGTAAATGGTTTTTTACTTATTGGGGAAAAACCCAAAAAGTGTTGCAACTGTCCCTGGTCTCCCTACTTATTAATAAGATCTGTAAAGTGACCCCAAATCTTTTGTTACCTCACAAGTCCGATTTCAGAAATTCATGTTAATTCTTAAAGCAAACATATAGACTGTATTTACATGTCTAGATTATATTTGTGGACCTCAGTAAGGCTGATAGGGATCCTTTTATAGTAACAAATTAATACTGCTGAAAGATTTGCGCTACCTAAACAGAGGCGGCCATAGTCCTTCCAGAATTAGTCAAGTCCAACTTCCTGTGTTCCCTTGTTGACCGGCTACTTGGAACTTTCTTGTAATTTCTCTTGGAGTTTCTCTACATAACTCCTCTTGCAGAGATTGCAGCAGCAGTAAGAATTAAAGAGACAAATGTAGTGTTCAGTTCCTGTTTAGTCCGTAATGCAGGAGAAGCAGCATGCAGTAAAAGAGGGTACTGCAGCTCTACACATGTTCTTTATGTCTCTCTGGGAACATTGCATCCTTTCTGTGGGAGAAAACTAGGAGGAGTAGGAAGTCTCCATGTGTCCCTTCAGCCTCTTCCCCAGGAGCTACTGCCATGGCCGCTGTGGTGTCGGGTTGGGGTTGGGATAGATGGGTGTCGGGTTGGGGTGGGGCGGGTAGGTTGGGATAGGGCACTGCGCCATGAGGTGTGGCTGCACGTGGGGGATGGAGGACGGGTGGTGGAGGTAGAGCGGGGCGGAGGGTGCTGTGGGAGTCGGGACTCTCTGCAGGACGACATGGGGGTAGAGCTGAGACTCGGAGCGGTAGAGTCCGGGAAGAGACGCCTTCAGCAAACTCTCCTGACTCCTGCAGGGGGAAAAGAGCGGGAAATTAGGCAGGAAGTGGAAGTAGAGATAGCCAGTCATCCAAATATGTAAAACTTTGAAAACCGGTTTAAAATAAGTGCATCTGTTGGGGACTATTTTCAGCGGTGGAATAACACACATTGATGAGTGTTTACATGAACAGGCCAGTGTGTGCTTATACTAATGAAGTAACATGTTGGCCAGTAAATCAATGTGTGATTAATTATTATTTTTTAACAATAATGGAGCTCTTTGGCACGTCATCTCACCCACTGTTAGCTAGTTGAATGTTCCCTCGGATGCAGTGACACAAAATCAATCAGTTTGGAAAGCAAAAATGGGATTGCGAACACAATCGGCTTCAGTAAAAGTTCCAAAATGTATGGTTTGGACATATAGTTTTGGGGAGTAGATATGTATACCCTGTGAGTCCTACCTCTGGTACCCCCTGTTCTCATATCCACCCAGACTTCCAGTCAGATAGAGGGGGCCGTCAGGAGCCAGGCGGGGATTCATCCTCTGGGAGAGGTGGAAGATCTTGGGAGGAGGGAAAGCTTCCCACTCTCCCTCTTCTCTCTCCAGCCAACACTGGCTGCGCCGGCTGGGGCGCGTCTCCCTGCGCCTGAGGGGGAGACACCTGTATCAGCTCAGTCCTCACAGAGGGGATGTCACAGGTGGGGTGGGGGGTGGTATCGAGAGTTACTTTAGGTGCAGTCCTACCTGCTCCGTCCCTCCTTCTTGGCTCGGTCCCGACCGGATCGCTCTTGAAGGCAGCAGATGAGGAAGGACAGAGACATGGCGAGGATGACGACGCCGCTCACCACTGAGGCCAACACAGCCACTCTGAGACCCCGGTCCTCAGGTCTGGGGATCGCTGCGGGGGGGCAAATGACATTTTAAAGGTCTCCTATCATTCAAAAAATACACTTTTTGAAGTCTCTTGCACATAAATGTGTGTCCCCGGTGTGTAAGGGAACTCACAAAGTGTCAGAAAACAAAACCCTCTCTTTTCCTCCGTACCCACATCTCTAAAAACGGGGGTACAACGGAGCTGATCCAGATTTGATGCCGACATGACGTAATATCGGAAATGTGAGCTGGCTTTACACCCACGGCCCTACCAGAAACGTCGCTATCAGAAACAATGAGCGACGTGTTTTGAAGTAATTTGGTCTTTGTTTACATTAGCAAGCATCGCTAACACTCAGAGCTAACCTGTACTGGAGAGAGTAAGTGTAAAGAAACAGGAAATCAAAAAAGGAACTCACCTTGTGGTAAACCCGCAAGAGTAAAAGCATTTGAGCTCCATACGGTTTCAGAAATAATCCTCGATGTGGTTTTGAACATGATATGGTGTTTAATCACGGTAGCATTTAGCCGAGTACCTGGATAGATATGATTTTTCTTTTAAAGCTAAGGACCCAGAATCAGCATTTCTCTAACAGGGCTGAAATAGAGGGGTATGAGGCATGGCTAGAATGGGTGATCTGTTTGGTATTTTGAGCAAAACACATCATAGACTTTTTATATATATCTGAGCCTAAAAATAGCATAATAGGAGACCTTTAAAATATGTATCTAATAAGAAAAGGACAGTGTCTGAATAAAGCATCTTACCTTCACAGACAGGCAGGTAGTTGCTCCACTGCGGCCTGCCGTTCTTCACATAGCAGGAGATTTTGTCGCTGCCCACCAGCTGGTACCCCTCCCTGCACCAGAAGACCAACACGCTGCCGATGGACGAGCCGGTGCCGTTCTCCACGTAGAAGGAGCCGCGACGGGGAGGCAGGATCGGGATGCAGGACAGACCTGAGGACACAAGGTCAACTCATGGGTCACAAAAACGTTATAAATAATAACAGAATATGCAAGGAAGGCCAAAATGCTTATTTTAGGTCCCACCCTCGAATAAGGACAAGTAATATGAAAATAATGTTGAGAAATCTAGATGTTTTACAGTCCTATGTCTTTCACAGTAAATGTATTTAATGCAATATTAGTGAGGGCAATGGAAATGTGACTGTCTGGTCTAGTAGGAGTAAAAATCACAAATGTATCTCCTGTAGATGCCAAATACTGCCCAAAAATTTATGTTGCAGTCAGAATACTGCCTGAACCTGGCAAAAGTGGAATGAAAAAGTAATAACAGGGTTTGCCCATACACGATTATGATAAAAATCATAGCAAATGACAATCACGGTACCCATTTACAGATGATTCCACTTTGTTTTGGAATGATAGATAAAGTCTTATATGTTGCTTTGCGTCTACGCTTCACTATACTTTGTGATTGAGAGCTTGGGACCTAAATAAGGAAGAACATTACAAGAGCTAAAACGCGTTTTATGAAATGTTTATGATACAGTTTCATAATTAGCATACAGTCATCTTCAAACTTATCAGCTGTGAACAAATCCTTAGTAGAGTTAATCGATCTAGAAATAGTCAAATCGGTGGATTATGACCTCTCACTTTGGAGAGCTTTTAGGCTATTTTTGGCGATATAAAAACAGACTTTTTAATATGAACCTCTAAATGTTCCTTTTCCTTCATCTCTGTCAACTTCTTTCTACTTTGCTACCTTCACTTCTTTGGTCTCCTTTCTTTTCTACCCTACACAGACAGTCTGCTATGCTGAGAGTCTGAAAATTAGCATTTCCACTTGAGAGATAGACAGAGAGAGAAAGAGACAGAAAGTGCTATTTTTAACTTCCTTATGCTACAATACTCATATCAGAGGTCTTGTGATACAGCAGCTATTGTTAGATTGTGGGAATGTCAGAGGCTCTCATGTAAACGTACAGCGACGCTGGTCACACAACGTCTCGCTGAAAGACCCACATGGAAAATAAGCACTGTACCACAGAACGACCATGTGGTATCTGCAGTGGGTTATTCATCAAAGCTGATGACTCAGCATTTCTACCTTTTTAATGCTCAATTCACTGAATCACTTCTTATGTCTGTATGTTAAGAAACAAAACAAATACTTGTCTAGAGAACTGTATGTATGTATGCTGAATGTATGTAATTAAAGCATGATGATGTTTTAGAAGTAATGTTTAGAAGGGCACGTGATGTTTCAGTTTGCGTTGCTGCGTCAGTATTAGTGTAATCTGTGTGTGTGTGTGTGTGTGAGATTTCATCCCACAATAAGACCCTGTGAACATGCAAGCCGCTCTCTTCTGATTAGGAACGACAGATGGGAGGATTTCTGCAGCGGCGTACAGAAAGAGAGGAAGAGGATGCCATGATCCTGTGTGAAGATGACAGTAACTCCACCCCCCCACGCACACACACATATATCCTCTGCATCGAGGCACACACTGCAGACACGTGCGTCATGGGTACAGTGCAGGGAAACAAGGACAAACTGTTTTTAAAGAGTAACTAAAAGCCATCCTGTTTCCCTAAGGCACCTTTTATTGTAGCCGTTGCTGCTTGTTGATACGTGTTGAGAAAGAGTTAACCAAAACAGTCAGGAGAACCGTATACATGTGGGAAAGTTCTTCAATTCAATCTGGCTTTTTAAGAATAAGAAAAACATGAGAATTAGTCCATACCCATGCTGTGGTATCAAAACAACACACAAATGCTCAATAGAGCTAAGGTTATGGAGTTGGGTGATAATAAATTCAGATTTTAAAAATCCAGCAAACACCACAATACATAAATAGACACTATTACCAGGGGTGCACATAACTGTTTTGCCCTGGTTCTCAAAGGAGCACCTGGAGATGTTGCTTGGTGCTCATCCTTAAAATGAAATAAACCGTAACTTTTGAGGGGGTCATTATTTGCCAGACACACGGCACTGAACACAAATGCAGAGGTGAACACAGAACACACATGCAGAGGTGAACACAAGACAACATTAGCACGACCAGTAATCCTACAAGCTGTCATCACTACCCTCCTGACTGTTCTCCTCACTGTCTTCCTCTCTGTCAGACATGGTAGCTAATGATGTAGGCCTACTACTTTCTCTCTGGTTGAGTCTGCGATTAGCTGCTGGTTTTGGGTCGAAAGTCTCTGTTGTCATCTTAGACAAGTGGATGTAATCAAATAAGTATGTGAACATAACCAATAACCTACCATAGCCAATAACAAATTAATGTAACTTATTTTATTTGTGTTGTTCATTCATATCTTATTTTACCTTAACATTTATTTTAGGGCTGTCAAACGATTACAATTTTTAATCAGATTATTCACAGCTTAAAAATTAATTAATCAGATTAATCACCATTCGAACTATGTCCAAAATATGCAATTTATTTATGTATATTGTTGTGGGAATGGAAATTAAATGAAAGAAGGCGGATATATCCATTTAACATACCTATGTTTATTATAAGTTTTCTGCGTGTCAAAATGAAAGACACCCACACACCTATCAATCATCAAACCGTGGGGTCTTAATTCATTACGTGTTGATTTCTATCAACGGCAGAGGGGGGGGGGGGGGGGGGGGGGGCGGCTAGTGGAGTACTTCGTGACCACAGAGTGTGAACGTTGTGATCAGCTGTTTTAGCGCAGTTCTCCAGTGAAGGGGGGGGGAGTCTCCCTTCGCAGCCGGTTGGCGTAGTTTTGGCACAATTCCGTTGTACAGACCGACGTTAACAGCAGCCCTGTCTGTGCACACGGAGACCGACTCTGTCGTCCGGTGATCTAACCGCCTTCTGGAAAAGCTTCACAAGTACGTCGGTACGCAAATGCGCTTTGTGACACAAGTGACGGTACGCATTTCAGATTACGCACATAACCTGCGTACCAGTTATGTGTTACCTGTACTACAGCAAAAGTATTCTCCGTCGGGACTTCCTGCAACAACACCACGCCGGTATCAAAGATGTTCTATTGAGAAGACGATCACTACGTGACAAAAGTTTTCAAAACCGTGGCTACTGAAATCAATCTTACTAACTGCTGTATGTGCAATTTACTCTGCGCGAGTTGGCAGACTTCATTTTGCTTCCTTTAACATCATTGTTCATGGTGGGGCTAAGCCATTTATTGGTATGGGTGTAGCCTACCCCATCCATACCCTGGCGCTGCCACTCCTGGCACGTATGGGGCGGGCCATTCTGCACATGCGTTAAATGCGTTAAATATTTTAACGCAATTAATTCAAAAAATTAATTACCGCCGTTAACGCGATAATTTTGACAGCACTAATTTATTTATTTATGCATTTCTTTTATCTCTCCAGTTTTAAAGGATATTTTTGGTTACTGTCCTATAGTATACATTGGAATGATTTAAAACCTGTTTATCCCAATAATTATAAAGGAGTGCCTTGGAAATATGTGTTTACATAAATTGTGACCAAACCGTTTGAACTTGAGAGTCTTTTACCTCACTGAGCTGTAGTTAACTTATCAGCCTCTCAGTCTGACTGGAGAGGACTCTCCCTCCACATTATTGTAGAAACATCTTCTTCTCCGTTAGAGCAGCTAGCACGGCACCAGATTCTAATAACAACAGCGCTGGTAGGCTACCGGTGCACCCTCCCTCTCTCCCTCGCTCACTCGCATTTTGGCTGTGAGCTGCGGGCGCCAGATAAGCCAATATCCCCCATTTTCATCACTTACAGCGCCCATCGTACAGGGCAAATGAAACGTGTAACCGGGGTGAAAAGGGTGTTACATTTACTTAATTATGAATGTTGTTACATCAAGGCCGAAAATTAGGATGAGCCCCAACGGTCAAAATGTTTTTTTCCCTCCCAGAACTGCCAGCGCAGCACCTCCCCAGGTCTGGCGCACCAGGCGAACATCTAGCCAGCGCTACGGGCCGGCCCTGAGTTCATATCATGGTTCATATGCAACTCGCAAATATCTTTCTCTCTTCTCTCTCTCTCTCTCATCTCTCCTCTCTTTTCCCTTCTTTCTCTCTCTCTCAATGTTGGTACGCAAATGCGCTTTGTTTCAAATGACCCGGTGCTCTTTTTTTGGCAGAGGTGCGCATGCGCACCAGTTATGTGCAGCCCTGACTATTATATTTAAAATGACATGACAAAAACTATAAAATACTCTACATTTCGTATGTTGCTTGAGAGAAGCATTACTGGAGAGAAGAGAAGCCCCACATGGGGTATCCTTAAATGATTTCATGTTTTATAAAATAAGTATTTCAGCTTGTTAGCTAGCTAACAAACTCTTGTTAACACCCTCTTTACAAGTGTTATGAAAACTAACACCAACTGTTAAATCTGGAATGCACCTCTTAAGCTTCCTCACACAAACACTGGCTCACATGAGAGAAAGCCTTTACCTCTAAAAAGGGGGATCAAATATTGAACATGTTACGTAAGGTTGCGTGTTTTAAGATTGGAGAGGTTTTTTTGCTGGCTGTTGCCACGCCGCAGCAGGAATCTCTCCCTCCAAGACCCTGAAGTAACTCCCACCTCCCCTGCCAGGCGACCAATATAGTAAACAGAGAAGAAGAACAAAGACGGCATTGTGAAGTGGACAAACAGAAAACCATCAGAGGGGCCTAGCATCAATACAAACTGGAATTAATGCCGAAAAGATTGAAATTTGTGTTAAATTTAAAGTCAAGTTGTGTGTGCGAGACTGACCTAAGCTCCTTAGCACAGAATTCATGTGTGTATGTGTCTGAAATCTTTACTGACAGGTAATGTGTGCTTGACTCAAAGAGTTCAGTTCTGTGTGTGTGTACTCTTTGCTGTTTGCTGTAGTTCACTCTCATTCAGAAAAGCCTCTCTGTCATTGTGGAAACTGTGGGTTGCCAATCAAACTGTCCAGTTGCCAGCAGGGAGCTAATACACTTCTAGAACCCCTGAA